CTGCCCTGGGGGTATCTAACCCACAACCGAAGGCTTCAATTCTGACCAAATTCAAGGGGCTAAACACCCCATGATAGATTCTCTGAGAGTGCTTTGATGAGCAGCCAACATTCACAGCCAGACTTGAACTTATCTATATTCTAGCCAAAAACTTGAAAACTGGAATATGAAATTCATGTAGTCTGACCCTCTGGGGAAGCTGTGCACTTCTGCTTCCAGCCTATGTCATATTTTGTACCACACACGGTTCAGTGGATGCTGCAGCTGAATGCCAGACCATTGCAAAGGGCTGTCACAGGAAACCATTTGTCACTATATGCATTATTTTGCAGAATTTTTAATAGCTGAGTTTTAAAATGAAGACATTGAAAAATTGCTTACCCATGAGGTATTTTGCTGAGGACATAATATGCCGTATATGAATGGTGGTACACCTGCAAAATGAAATTAAGAAACAGAACAAAACAGAAATGAGATTAGTAATTGTCACCTGTGCTCATAGGGCTCTTTATTATTTTTATTTTCTTAAAAAAACAATCCAGCATGTATGGCAAGGGAGCTCTTCTAAAAGCTTCAAAATCTGTACTAGAAATGAAAAATACATGAATTCACCTAACACTGCTGTGTGTTCTTTTTATCTTGCACTTTATTACAGTGTTTGGCAAATTGTATACATCCAGATGCTCTGTGTCGTTACCATGACTACCAGGTCTTTGATTAAACTGGGGGCTCGTGGTCTCTGCAAGGGCTAAATATAGAACAATCATTAATGAGGACACCTTGGTCAGCTGGAGACATTCACCATCATTGTAACTAGACACAACAGGGACATAATGCATATTTTTGTGCTTTATTCCTACATAAGTAAACCAGGGAGTGATGCTGGGTGATCTCAGAGTGGGTTGTAGGACTCCTGTCAGTCAGCAAATGAAACCTTATTGACTTAGGGCATAAAGCTGACCTCATGTTTGTTTGATCTGCTAAGTTGCATCTTCATATCAATTTGCACTCTTTGGGCCCTGGGGAGAAGCCTGTCAGCTTGCATGGCAGGTCATCTCAGAAGGGAGAGTTTATTGCTTATTTTCCAAGTACTAAATAACTACGCCAGAGCCAAGTTCAGTGAATTAAGACTTTCTGCTGGTGGCCACATAATCCCTAACAGTGATCTGTGGCTGCAGTGCTGAGCAACACAAGAGCCAGGGCACTAGTGTGAAAGGTCAACATTTGAATGACTTTATCCAAATGTATACAGGCACTCACTTTTGGAACTCTGTCCTGTTACTGTATGCTGCCAAATAAATGTCTCCAAAAAAGCATTTTGACTTCAACTTAATTCTTGAAGTTACTTGCTCTCCAGAAGCTCTCATAAAACATCTTGTCTCAGAGGACAAAGGAGAAACATCTTGACTACTTGCTTCACCAATCAAGTTTGTCTGATCAAAATCAAATTCCCTAGTTATCTCTGGTTTTGCACAATTATATTTTTTAATTTTGCCAATAAACCATGAGATGTCCTGGATGGTGCTGCCAGCCTCAGCAGTGGCCATCCCAAGCACATCACTAGCATCACAGTAAGTACAACTTACTACCCATCACTCTCAAGGATAAGCCTGAGTAGATGCAGGCATCTATAACAGGCTTACATCTTTTAGGGGCTCAGTAGAGAGGCAGATAAAGACAAGGCACATCATCCTGTATATATTAAACTTCTCTGTTACAATTTGAATCCAAATCCACTACATCCTTAGAGTAAGGCAAGAACCCCCTGAAAAATGTATATAGATATAAAAGGTATATGTATAGGGTATAGAGGTGAAAGCACTGGATTTGTACCTATGAAACACAGAGACTGATGCCAAGTTGATCTGATTCCCTTCTCCCACGCAATTCACTCCCATCATTACAAAGACATCATCAGGTGATATCCCAAAATCATACCTCCTTTTAGGCATTCAGATATATAAAGTCTCCTCCAGTAAGGTGAGTCTCTGGTTTGTTAGTATCAAAAATGGTCTAGAAACACCAGTGAATTCCCTGCAAGCTAGCATTTATTTTAACACAGGTGTCCTTTCTAGATCCACCCATTTCAGATAATGTCAAATAAGTTACCACTGTCTCATCCACATCCCATCCTGCTAAAGATCTCTTGAATCTCATAATGCTGACATTGGAGACCTGGCTGATGCATGTGGTCTTAGATCATATTCCAGCTTTGGTGAAGTTCTAAAACTTCTAAAATCCCTTAAAGAAAATGCACTGGAAGTCTAAATTTCTCTACAGATCTGAAAAGCCTAACAATACATTGCCATTAAATACTGACCATCTTTTGTCTTGAAATAACCTGGCAGTAGGATGTAGAAAATGATATAGATAAATAAACTGTGATTCAAGACAAAGACTGATGTGCTGGATAAGAAGCCATGCTGTGTTTTTAGCTTTCAGAGGCAAGAGCCAGCCCTCAAAATGAGTATGAAGAGATGCCTTCAGGGGAAAATAAAGTGTCAGGCTGGAAGCAAAAGAAACAGCCAGGGAAGTCTTGAGCAGGGTATCTGCTGATGTCTCTGCTTGTGGTAGAGTCCCCACAGCCTTGCTAGAGAGTTTAGAGCTTCTCTTAGAGCCATTAATGGAGACTGAGGTAAAATATTTTCTTTGTCAAGAGAGTTTAGGAGCAGGGAAAACAAAAGCTGCAGGACTCTCATAAAATCTCTTTTATTTTCTGAACAACATTTGTCAACCTCTTGGGTCTTAACCAGACTCTAAAATATCCCATATCAGCTGTGCCTGTAGCACGTAGTTTTCAAAGGCTTGCAGCTGGCTGAGTTAATTTACAGGAGCAATTCTTTCTCAAATAAATCCTTAAAATCAGTAGCTTTGGTCATGTAACAACAAGTACTTGCATGAGCAATGATTTCAGGATTAGATATTTATTATTATTATAGTTCTTAAGGACAAGAGCACATGGAACTCAAAAGTCCTTCTTATCACTATTTCAGACCTCTTTGGAAAACACACTGCAAGCAGCCAACCCAGCAGTCTGTAAGTAGACAGACATCCAATAGAAACATCACTTAATGTCTTTCTGAGTAATGAAATGTCTTCTTTCCTCTTTGATATGCAAACCAAATAAAGTTATTGTAACTGTTTGAGAGGATGACTATATCTGCTTAATATCCCAACCAAATTTCTGCTGGGGTCTAGCTGAATTAAGCTACTTACTTACCAGTAGAAAGACCCCACACCATGAAAAAAGCATCCCTCTGAAATCCAAAGCTAAGCCTCAGAGGCTGGTCAGTGCTAAAAAGTTAGTATTCATTTAATTTAACCCCTCTGTTTCCAAGGCTTAGCCAACAAAAAGCCACTGCACTGATTTAATTCTCTCGGCCCTGATTTTTGGCTGGATCCCAGAAGCACACAGCTCCTCTCAGTAGAGAGGCATATTTGAAGATAGTGGAGTTTTGGCAAGAGTTTTGCTCTGTAGTCCCTGTGTGCCAAGTCATCCCACCAACTGAAGTCAGAACAGGTTTGAGACTGCTCTGAAGGGTTCTAGGGTACTACCAAAATCGGATCACAAAGCTTCCATGCCAGCTGTAAAAGAGCTGTAAAAGTTATTATTCTAAAGCCATTGTGCCAGAAACACTCTCCCACCGGGCTTCTTGTCCCACAGCACAGATCTTGCTTACTCTCAATTTACATTATGCTCTGCAACATGTGCATGTTTCCACTGAAATCATAAACGGTCTAAGAAATGGGTCTATCTGCTTTCTCTTAAGTCTTGGAAATGTTATTATTTCTCTGAAATTCAGAAAAATGCAGGACTAATCATATACAACAACGCTTTGTTGTGAAGGCACTGACCTAATTTTATATAATCAACAAAAGAAACATGGACCTGCCCAGATAAGAGTGGAAATGCAAGCACTGCAGCACATAGAGCAGCAGAGAAAAGCATCCACCTCTCCCCATCACAAAATTCCAAGATAATGAGTAAATTGTGGTTCCTACAACCTATAGAAAGAAAAAAAGAAGCAGTAATTTCTGTCCCACACCACTGCAAAGTATGGTGTGAACAGTAATGTCTCCTTGAAGGCATTTGTTTCAACTTCAAGGATACAGGTCCTAGTCCAGCAGGGCTTACTCAAATAGAAAATATCTGTTAATTGAGAACAGAATTGATTTGGAGTAATTTATTCATTGTGATTATTCATATACTTTAAATTAGGATCCATAGCTCTGGTTCTTGCCCCAAAGCAACTGCACAAGTACTTGACATAAATGCAAAAAGACAAGCAGGTTCCTGGTTACTCCCCTAAATCTAACCTGGTTTGTCACAAAGACACAAACAAGCTGGACACACAGAGCCTTCGCCTTCATTAACTTCTTGTTAAAAGTTTGAAATTGTCACCATTGTTTTCAATTTGGCACTGCCCATGCAACTCACAAAGGATTAGGAAAAAGCTTTAGATGGAAATATGAGAGTTTTTGGAAGGACGCAAAATGTGTTTTCACTGTATTTTTGCTGGTATGAAGGATTTCTCTACCTGCTGAGGATTTATCACTAGCATCAGAAAAAAAAGAACAGTTTAGTTTACACTTCCATCTTCTGTCACATTTTGTGGACTGACACCATGTTAGCACCAGCAGCAATCAGTCTTTTTTTTATGTTCATATGACAAGGAACTGAATCACTACAAACAAGAAGCACACACAGACTTTCTTTCAAGGAATTTTATAAGCAAAGAGAGGGGGAAATCCTTGAAAAGAAAACTCTTCAAATCAGCCCAAACCTCAGCCCGACATCTTCCAATAGGCTGTTCTATCAAAACAGATCATTTAGGATATTGCCATTCTATCAAAACAGATAATTTAGGATCTTGCCACTAAACATAATAAAGTTTGTGGATCTGAGATTAAACCCAGGTGGACTGGTTGCCATGATCTCATGATCATTATTTACTTGATAAATACAGCAATAAACCACACTTTGCATCCATTTTGAAATTACTCCAAAGTGCCACTTGGTCCTTCATGCAGCAGTGTTATTTACATTAAAGAATTATCTATAAAGCTCACCAAAAAAATCCCATAAAACATAAAGTTTGAAAGGGAAAAGCTACAGAGCAGAGTAGAAGTGCAAGCTAAGTTATAAAGCAGTTTTCAAGGCTCAATACAAAATCCCTAGGATTATATATCTTTTCTCTTTTTCAGGTATTCCACATTTAATCAAAAAAAGTCATCCCAGTAGCCCCAAATAATAATTAACAATCTAAAATGCAATCAGATATTAAAATGTACAACCATTGGCTAAAGTCTGAAAATAGCCAGAATATATATTTAATATAAGTAATTATAAAACCCTCAGTAGTTATCTGGGTAAAAGGAATCACTATTTACTCTGTAACAACAAAGTATATCTCCAAATAACAGATCCCTTCAG